TTAGCGTGTTACACTAACAACCAAATATTCTACTGCAAAAGAGCCACCTGCATAGTGAAAGAGGCATTTCTGAGAAATGTTTTATCACATTAAGGACCAAGTATTACTACCTTGCAGAGAAGAGAAATTCTAGTAGGTTAAAAAGAAATGGAGAAGAAAAAAAATATTTACAACAGGTGTTTTTAAAGCTCTGTTAGTCTTCCCAGTAGAGAATTCCATAGAAATTTCAGATTATTCAGTCCTGTTAAATTCTTATCACTGATCAACTATAACATCTTCTTACTTAATAGCTTCAAAAAGACAGAGGCAGCAGTTTTAACTGCAGTGCATGAAAAGTGCAGCTCATTTCAAAGTGAAAGCAGAATTGAAGAACCTTGGAGGGAACAAAAAAAGAAAAACCCCGCAAAAAACCCCCCAACAATTACACCTTATTTTCTTATTGCTTTTTCTTGATATTTTGTATATTTTCTCATGTTTTCACGTCAGAGAAGGAGCAGCCAAGAGGACTGCCTTAGCGTGATTCGCTGTCTGTGCACATCTTTATCACTCAAGTCAGATACATAAATACCACCAGGGCTAGGTAGCTGATATATACTGCAAGTTATGATTATCTTTGTTTTACAAAGCAATATAGTAAAGGAAGAACCTAAACCAACAGAAAACATTTTTCACTAGTTCTAATTTTTTAAACATTATTTAAAATTCCATTAGAGAGTGTTAGCATTGTAACTAAGTAATTAAGGATGCAAGAGGTGCGTATGTAAAGAAGCAGGGTTAAGTAAAATACCTAGAAAGCCTAAGAACGCTATTCATTATTTCCCCAGGCCACTGAACTCCCCTAGCTCAAAATTGCTTTTCAATAACTGCATGACTATACATAACAAAATATTCTTTAAAAGTGTCAAAAAAGTACATCCCTTGCATTCTCCAGAAGTCAAAGGATGATAAAAGTTCCTGGAAGTTTAGGAGTATTTTATTGACAAATACACACTAAAAACTGGTTCAAGTGGAATAAGAGGCTTGATAAAGTAAATTTTGCTGTAGTAACTTGGCTGTAAAGTGCTAGAAAAATATTCTAATCCTCCTCAGTCCACAGGCTGAATCTTTAGATAACTAATGTGGCTTCCAAGAAAATATTTATTCCAACACTTTTTGAAAAAGAGACTTATAAAGCAGACCACCAGAAAACTTCACTGGACTTTCCTGAGCCCACAGAAATTTGTCCTATGTTATGCAATTCTCTTTAACTAACTGAAGGTAGTGTAGATGACTCCTTATCTTTTATATCAGATTTTTTAAGTGCTTTTCTTACTTACAACATTCCTTCTTGTGACCTTGAATTCTAGTTGCAATATTGTGAAGACTTAGCTTTGCAGTTCTACAAAACCTTTTATCTTAAACATCAAAGTTCATAAATTATTGCACATAATTTTTCTGCCTAACCAAACACATTCCTTCAGAAACAGATGCACAAGTAGTAGATGTTTTAAACAGTGTTAGCTAAAAACAAGGCATTTGACTTAATATCCTAGAATATAACCAAAGGACTAGTTAAACATAAAAAAGGAAGGCATAACTATCTTGGAAGAAGCAGTGCCTTAGGTCAGCTGACAGTTACATGGTTTCCCATTCAGTATCTTCAAAAGCAGTAAACAAAACTATTGCAAAGAAACCACAACCAAACAAAAAAAACCCCTAAAATACCACTGAGAACATGAGTAACAAAGGAAGGCAAAAAGGACCGATCTACATTAAAGAGCATTCCGTTACATTCCCATCAAAAACGAGAAAATGATGACGTAAACTTATCTGTTGCCTCAATATTTGTCCTGAGAATTAAAACCCCAAATGAGTTTTGTCACAAGGAGCAGCTACCTTCTGTCTCAAAGTGGATGTTTGCTCCTTGAAGCCAGGAAAAGTGTGACATGGCCAACTATAGCAATCAACAGGATCATAAAACTCTAACTCGCCTCTTGCTTCATTCAACGGTTAGAAAGGGATTGTAAAACTTGATAGCATGTTGTTTTCTCCCTTTCTTGCAGGAGAAAGGAGATAAGGCCAGGCTAGATAATGCAGCAATTGCAGGGTTTATAAGGTCCTTAGGAAGCATGCTCTGCAATAACTGACTAATTCTGCAGGTAATTCCAGCCGCCCCAAGAGAAAGCTACAGATGTCAGCAAAAGTACAAGAACATTTATTGCTCATACAAGGTCTTGACACAAACAAGACCAGGTGATATTGCTTTTTATCTGTTGATTTTTTTAAGGATTGCAACATGACCACTGGTCTGCAGTAGGGTGAGATGGTGACAAGAAGGTGAAAACATAGTTGGCCTTGTTCTTTACAAACAGGGGAACAGGATGGCTGGAAAGCCTTTTCTTACAGTAGGCTGATGCAATTATTTTCCTAATCTTATTTAAAGCTTTAGGCAAACAATTTCTAATTAAGAAGGTTCTGAATGACAGAGCTTGAACAACAAAAGACAGACTTGGTCAGCTTCTGCTGTTCTCATCTCTTCTAGCAGTTCAGAAGCTGTTTGCAGGGGTATTGTCATGACTACTAGGTACTGCAAAATCTTAACTAGTTAAAGAAGAAACTAAAGAAAAGCTGCTGCTGAAGTCATGTCCCTGCCCTTGCTATGTGAAGTTTCTAATTTAAAAAAGAAAGTTTGGAAAAAACCAAGAAGATAAGGTAAATACAGCCAAGGATAAAAATAAATATTTACTGGCAGATTTCAATGACAGGGACTCAGGTGTAGCTGAGGATAGTTCTTCCCTCCAGAGAAGAGAGAAACCTGACTGACACTTTTTTGTGTTCACAATCTGTTCCACACGTTCCTTAGTAAGCCACGGCGGGTGCTGCACTACTGTACACACAGTGTGTATGATAAGTTTAGGTGAGATATATAAATAAATAGTAAATTCAT